GTGTTTGGTCTCTGCCAGGGTCAACAAAAGAATGACTCCTTCAAAAGAATGCCTTTGAATGCCGCCGGGCCATTGCCTGCCACCAAGCGGGACACCAGCACTCTGTTCTGCCTGTAGCCCAACACTCTTCACAATTATTTTTTCTGGCAATCTTTACCCTCTGCATCTTGCTCATTTAAAGCTGACAACCTCCAGAGACTGAAAAGAAATTTTTTCAAAAGAAACAAACAAAAAAAACTTGAGGAGTGCCATTGAAAGAACTCTGGAAGGAATGTCCCAGGTCCGTAAAGTAAGAAACCTCTGAGAGCAGGACATAGCTCACTTTGCTGAGAGAGAAGTTCTCAAGGCCCACAGCTTTACTGCGGTAAATTATAGAGCCTGTGATATGGTTTGGATGTTCGTCCCCTCCAAATCCCGTGTTGAAATATGATCCCTGGGGTTTGAGGTGAGAGCCTTGTGGGGTGACTGGGTCCTGGGAGCTGATCCCTCCGGAATGTTTAACACCATCCGTTTGGTGATAAGTGAGTTTTCACTCAGTGAGTTGATGAGAGACCTGCTCGTTTAAAAGAGTTTGGGACCTCCACACGTCTCTCTCTTGCTCTCTTGCCATAGGATGTGGCCATTCCTGGTTCACCTTCAACCATGGGGAAACGTTCTCTGAGACCTCACCAGAAGCTGAGCAGATGCTGGTTCCATGCTTGTATAGCCTGTAGAACTGTAAGCCATTTAAACCTTTTTTTCTTTTTTTTTTTTCTATTTCTTTTTTATTATGCTTTAAATTCTGGAGTACATGTGCGGATCTTGCAGGATTGTTGCATAGGTACACACATGCCATGGTGATTTGCTGCCTCCATCCCCTCGTCACCTACATCAGGCATTTCTCCCAATGTTATCCCTACCCTAGCCCCCCATCCCCCAACAGGCCCCAGTGAGTGTTGTTCCCCTCCTTGTGTCCATGTGTTCTCACTGTTCAACACCCGCCTATGAGTAAGAACATTCGGTGCTTCCTCAGGTTTTTCTCTAAAGCGACACAACAGACTAGCAAGCCTGTCTTCCATCGACTGAAGTGTTTGTCTGCTTGGTAGTTTTAATTATTTTTTTTTAATTTTATTTTAAGTTCCAGGACACATGTGCAGAATGTGCAGGTTTGTCACATAGATAAACATGTGCCATGGTGATTTGCTGCACCTATCAGCCCATCACCTAGATGTTAAGCCCAGCATCCGTTAGCTATTCGTCCTGATGTTGTCCCTCTCCCTACCCCCTGCCGACAGCCCACAGGGTGTGTTGTTCCCCTCCCTGTGTCCATGTATTCCCATTGCTCAGCTCCCACTTTTAAATGACAGCATGCAGTATCTGGTTTTCTGTTCCTGCGTTAGTTTGCGGAGGATAATGGCTTCCAGCTCCATCCGTGTCCCTGTAAAGGACATGATCTCATCCCTTTTTATGGCTACATAGTATTCCATAGTGTATATGTACCACATTGTCTTTATCCAGTCTATTACTGATGGGCATTTAGGTTGATTCCATATCTTTGCTATTGTGAATAGTGCTACAATGAACATATGCATGCATGTATCTTTATAATACAGAATGATTTATATCCCTTTGGGTATATACCCAGTAATGAGATTGCTAGGTCAAATGGTATTTCTGGTTCTAGGTCTTTGGAGAATCACCACATTGTCATTCACAATGATTGAACTAATTTGCATTCCCACTAACAGTATAAAAGTGATTCTATTTCTCCACAGCCTCACCAGCGTCTATCTGGTGTTTCTTGACTTTAATAATTGCCATTCTGACTGGCATGAGATGGTATCTCATCGTGGTTTTAATTTGCATTTCTCTAATGATCAGTGATGTTGAGCTTTTTGTTTTGTGTTTCTTGGCCACATAAATGTCTTCTTTTGAAAAGTGTCTGTTCATGTCCTTTGCCCAATTTTTAATGAGGTTATTTTTTTCTTGCACATTTGTTTGAGGTCCTTGTAGATCCTGGATGCTAGGCCTTTGTCAGATGGATAGATTGCAAAACTTTTCTCCCATTCTGTAGGTCATCTGTTCACTCTGTTGATAGTTTCTTTTGCTGTGCAGAAGCTCTTTAGTTTAATTAGATCCCATTTGTTAATTTTGTCTTTTACTGCAGTTGCTTTTGACGTTCTAATTGTAAAATCTTTGCCCATGCCTGTGTCCTCAATGGTATTTAGATTTTCTTCTAGGGTTTTTACAGTTTTGGGTTTTACATTGAAGTCTTTAATCTATCTTGAGTTAATTTTTGTATAAGGTGTAAGGAAGGGATCCAGTTTCAATTTCTGCATATGGCTAGCCAGTTCTCCCAGCACCATTTATTAAATAGGGAATCCTTTCCCCCTTGCCTGTTTTTTCCCGTTTGTCAAATATCAGATAGTTACAGATGTGTAGGGTTATTTCTGAGGCCTCTGTTCTCTTCCATTGATCTATATATCTGTTTTGATACCAGTACCATGTTGTTTTGGTTACTGTAGCCTTGCAATATAGTTTGAAGATGGTAGTGTGCTGTGTCCAGCTTTGTTCTTTTTACTTAGGATTATCTTGGCTAAATGAGCTCTATTTTGTTCCATATGAATTTTAAAGTAGCTTTTTTTTTTTCTAGTTCTGTGAAGAATATCAATGGAAGTTAATGGGAATAGTATTGAATCTATAAATTACTTTGGGCAGTATGGCCATTTTCACAATATTGATTCTTCCTATCCATGAGTATGGAATTTTTTTCTGTTTGTTTGTGTCCTTTCTGATTTCCTTGAGCAGTGGTTTGTAGTTCTCTTTGAAGACATCCTTCAGTTCCCTTGTTAGCTGTATTCCTAGGTATCTTATTCTCTTTGTAGCAATTGTGAATGGGAGTTCATTCATGATTCGGCTCTCTGCTTGTCTACTGTTGGTATATAGGAATGCCTGTGATTTTTACACATTGATTTTGTATCCTGAGACTTTGCTGAAGCTGCTCATCAGCTTAAGAAACTTCTGGGCAACTGGGGGCAGTGGCTCCTGCCTATAATCCCAGCACTTTGGGAGGCCAAGGCGGATAATGACCTGAAGTCGAGAGTTCAAGACCAGCCTGACCAACGTGGAGAAGCCCCATCTCTAATAAAAGTACAAAAGTAGCCAGGCATGGCGGCACACGCCTGTAATTCCAGCTACTGGGGAGGCTGAGGCAGGAGCATTTCGTGAATCCAGGAGGTAGAGGTTGCGGTGAGCCAGGATCGTGCCATTGCACTACAGCCTGGGCAACAGGAGCGAAACTCCATCTCAAAAAAAAAAAAAAGAAAGAAACTATTGGGCTGAGAATATGGGGTTTTCTAGGTATAGGATCATGTCATCCACAGAGACAGTTTGACTTCCTCTCTTCCTTTTTGAATACCTTATTATTTTTTTGAGACAAAGTCTCGCTCTGTTGCGCAGGCTGGAGTACAGTGGCACAATCTCAGCTCACTGCAACCTCCACCTCCCGAGTTCAAGAGATCCTCCTGCCTCAGCCTCCCGAGTAGCCTTGTTCTGAATATAAGTGGCCTCCCAGGCCCCAGCTAATTTTTGTATTTTTAGTAGAGACAGGGTTTCACCATGTTGGTCAGCCTGATCTTGAACTCCTGACTTCACATGATGCATCCACCACAACCTCCCAAAGTGCTGGGATTACAGGCAGGAGCCACCACGCCTAGACCTTGAATATCCTTTATTTATTTCTCTTGCCTGATTGCCCTGGACCGAACTTCCAATACTATGTTGAATAGGAGTTGTGAGAGAGGGCATCCTTGTCTTGTGCTGGTTTTCAAGGGAAATGCTTCCAGGTTTTGCTCATTCAGTATAATATTGCCTGTGGGTTTGTCATAAATAGCTCTTATTATTTTGAGGTATGTTCCATCAATACCTATTTTATTGGGAGTTTTTAACATGAAGGATGTTGAATTTTATCAAAGGCCTTTTCTGCATCTATTGAGATAATCATGTGGTTTTTGTCTTTAGTTCTGTTTATGTGATGAATTATGTTTATTGATTTGCATATGTGGAATCAGCCTTGCATCCTGGGGATGAAGCCGACTTGATTGTGGTGGATAAGCTGTTTGATGTGATGCTGGATTCAGTTTGCCAGTACTTTTTTTTAAATAAGATGAAGTCTCGGTCTGTCACCCAGGCTGGAGTGCAGTGGTGCGATTTGGGCTCACTGCAACCTCTGCCTCCTGGGTTCAAGCAATTCTCATGCCTCAGCCTCCCAAGTAGCTGGGATTACAGGTGAGCACCACCACACCCAGCTAATTTTTGTATTTTTAGTAGAGACAGGGTTTTACCATGTTGGCCTGGCTGGTCTTGAACTCCTGACCTCAAGTGATCCACCTGCCTTTGCCTCCCAAAGTGTTGAGATTACAGACGTGAGCCATTGCACTCAGCCTGCTTTGCTAGTATTTTATTGAGGATTCTTGCATTGATGTTCATCAGGGATCTTGGCCTAAAGTTTTGTTTTTTATTGTATCTCTGCCAGGTTTTGAAATCAGGATGATGCTGACCTCATAAAGTGAGTTATGGAGGAGTCCCTCTTTTTTAATAGAAAAAAAAAATTCATGTGATAAAAAATTTAAAAGCTACAGAAAGGTAACCAGTGAAAAGTCTCCTTCCAGTAGCTTCTGCTGGTGGACCAGCCTTATTCTCAGAGGCAGCCATCAAACATTTCTTGTGAATCTCTACAGAAATATTTTATCCATAAACAGTTAGATATATATATATATACATTCTCCCCATATTCTATCCCACCCCTCCTTTTTGTTACACCAATGGCAAACCACTATATACAATAATCTTTTTTCACTTAATAATGTGGACTTCATACCATATCAATACACACAATTTCTCATTCATTTTAAAGCTGTATCCATCACACGGATGGACCAAAAGATATTTAGGAGTTCCTTACTGAAATGAACATGTATCTTATTCACAGTCTTAGGCTACTCTTATTTTTATCTTCTTACCTGAAACTCTCTGAGCAAATCTGATTGCTTCTTCAAGTGGGTCTGAGTTCACAACTTTATCTAGAATGCCCAGCTTGAGTGCTTCACCTGCTGAAATATGTCTTCCTGAAATAAACAAAACAAAGAATGAAGCAAGATGAAAGCAAAAGCTTACTCTCTCTGGTAGGAAAGGCTGTCTGTCCTAGATAGAAATATCTATTATTGAATAAAATAGGTTAAGAGCCACATTGACTGACAGAGTGAAGATCAGCACTGAGGTAACCAGGAAACTTGGATTCAACTCCAGCTTAGCTTCACTATTTGTATGACCATGAAGAACTGCACCAGGAACACAATTTCCTCATTAGCAAATGGCAATAATTATGCTTATCACAGTAATTCTGAGTATTAAGTAAGAGTAACATATTCTCCTTATATTTTATGAATCTCTATAGAAGCACTTTATAAATATAGAAATGTGAGGTGTTTCATTTTTGATAATGATAAGGGAAGTAGTCACAGCAGGATAATATAGTATCTACCTTATCCCTAGCACACACCATGGGCTGTGGTTGGTTAAAAGAAAAAAAAAGAGAGTTGGGCACAGTGGCTCATGCCTGTAATCCCAGCACTTTGAGAGGCCGAGGTGGGCGGGTCACTCGAGGTCAGCAGTTTAAGGTGAAACCCTGTCTCTACTGAAAATACAAAAATTAGCCAGGCTTGGTGGTGCATGCCTGTAGTCCCAGTTACTCGGGAGGTGGAGGCAGGAGAATCACTGAAACCTGGGAGGCGGAGGTTGCAGTGAGCAAGGATCACGCCACTGCAATCCAGTCTGGGCAACAAAGCTACTAGACTCCATCTCAAAACAAACAAACAAACAAAAATGAAAAACCGATAGTCCCTAAACATAAATATGGTTAGGTCAATAAGAAGAAACAAATCTGACATTCTATAAGGTATAATTAAAATTATGCAGGACAAATGGGATGGACTTCTGCCATTTTTTGGCTACTCAGCATCTCAACCCCTCATTTAGTTCGTGGAATTGCTGTTGGGTAAGCTTTGGAGCCCTGCCTCCTCCTACAGAAGCTGAGAGGGACACAGATGATTAGATAATTGACAATGAGACTGTGGCAGCATGAGTGTGGCCCATGCCCCCAGTTGTGACTTGAGTGCTCTCTTGAGGGCTTTTAGCTTGGAGTCAGTGACACTAAGCAGCAGCAACAGGTTTAATCTCATTTCACAGGTGCCAGCATCTAGAATCTGGCGGTAGAGGTGCTGGTAGACTTAGTGTCCAATCAGGCCATTAGCATCCTCCAGTACAGAATGCCTGCTCTAGAGGGGATACAGAAGTCTGATAAGCGTTTGCACCATTCCTAATTTGCCTGGATAGTTCTTTACCAGTTGTAAATATGCAATTTGATCTGCATATTCTGAGGTAAGAGGTAGGGACATCAGCATCCTTTACCCCAGGGTCAGAAGGAAGGAGACGGTGACACATCGCTTGCTTTCTTGCCAGTACCATCTTGCCTTCTGAAAAGCAATTCAAATCTGCCTTGGTGGCAACAGTTCCACAGTCTTCACTGCACCTACAGTATTGGTGGATGCCGTCGGAGACAAACCCTCCATTCTTGGTTCTTATTAGTGCTTCAGAGAACTACAAATGAGTTTTCTTGATTGGATAGAAAGTTCAGTGATTTTTTTGGTAGGTGTCTCTTTGAAAAGCAGTATTTGGGCAGTTTTCTGGAAGTATCTCTGAAAACAGGCTTTCAGGTCTCCTGGGTAAGGAGTAGGGTGGGAATTACATAAGTGATTTTCGGGGTCAGGTATCCTGTGTATAAAATCACTTTGGTAAGGAGTGAGTGAATCAGCCTACCCAGGTTAAGGGAACCAGGCAAACACAAAATGCGACAGGGAAATCTGGGTCCTATGATAAAAGGATTTTGAGGTCAACTAAGCAGGGGGAATGTGAGCTACTCCCAGATAAACTGAAAATTTCTTTAGCTGTAATGATTTCTTCTGGCTTGGATTTCACAAAATTGCAAGAGTACCACTACTATTCTAACAGAGTCAATGGGATTCCAAGTGCAGTCATAATATCATATAATAACATTTCTATCAACAACACATATATCATGGTGGCCCCATACAATTACAATACCGTATTTTTACTGTACCTTTTCTATGTTTAGATACACAAATACTTCCATTGTGTTACAGTTCCCTACAGTATTCAGTACAGTAACATGCCGTACAGGTTTGTAGCCTAGGAGCAATAGGCCATACCACATGGCCTGGGCGTGTAGAAGGCTAACCCACCTAGGTTTGTGTGAGCACGCTATGATGCTTGCACAATGACAAAGTGTGCCTAACTACACATTTCTCAGAATATATCTCATTGTTACATGATGTATAGGTGGACTTTCACCCTGTTCCAAAGAACTAAGGATCTAAAGACATGACTTTGTATATCCAATGCAGATTCTTAGGCTGTAATTTAAATTTGTTTTTTCTTACAGTGTAGATGACAACCCCTGTCCAGTGGGCTCTAATAAGAACCCTGTGCACCCCAAAGCAACTGAGGCTGAGAGTTCTCATCTCCAACCTGAGTAATCTCAGTTTTGTCCAATTTTCTTGATGGCTTCTTTTCTAACCTTTAACATTTTTTTCTACATGAAACTCTTTCCAAATGTCATATTCAGGTTTTCCTAAAATTGTGCAGACTACTCAAAAAAACAGGTGTATGATTCTAACGTTAGCTTTTTTTGTAATTCACTGTGACCTTTTCTATGCAAATCAAAAACCCATCATATTCTTACTGTTTTTACCACTTTTCTCCATGTTAAAAATAGTGATATTCCTTTAAGCAGTGCTTTGGGAAAAGGTCAGTTCTAGCTCATTGTATTTCTTTTTGCCAAAGCCAGTCTTTCTGATTTCTTCCAATAATCTTGGTTTCAGGCAATACTGCAAATAGGGCCACAAAATTATTCAATATTTTCCCACAGGCTTTAAGTTTCTGTAAGCCTTCAAATTTACAGATTCATTTCACACTATTATGATTTCTTCCTATATTTTAGGCTTCTTTACTTCTTATTTTGCCTTTTACAAAATAAATCATCTCACATTCTTCAAATTTCTGTAGTATGTTGGATCCTAAGCATCCTTTTATGAATTCAACATTACATACTTAAAATAGTTTACATTCTTTCAAATGTACTTATACCACTGTAAATTAAAACAATTTCTAACTTGATTTATTGAAGGAAATAAATGTCATATTTCTGGTCTTTCTAACTCTCCTTTTATACACTACAGAATTTATAAAATTATCCCCCTGTTTAAAAGAAAAAAGCCATTTTTAACGCACATAGCCTCACATTTTTTTATTATTATACTTTAAGTTCTGGGGTACATGTGCAGAGCATGGTTTGTTACATAGGTATACACGTGCCATAGTGGTTTGCTGCCTCCATCACCCCGACATCTACCTTAGGTATTTCTCAAATGCTATCCCTCCTCTAGTCCCCCACCCCTCTGCTATCCCTCCCCTAGTCCCCCAAACCCTGACAGGCCCCAGTGTGTGATGTTCCCCTCCCTGTGTCTATGTATTCTTATTGTTCAACACTCACTTATGAGAACATGTGGTGTTTGGTTTTCTATTCTTGTGTTAGTTTGCTAAGAATGATAGTTTCCAGCTTCATCTATGTCCCTGCAAAGGACATTAACTCATCCTTTTTTATGGCTACATAGTATTCCATTGTGTATATGTGCCACATTTTCTTTATCCAGTCTATCATTAATGGGCATTTGGGTTGGTTCCAAGTCTTTGCTATTGTGAACGGTGCTGCAATAAACATATGCGTGCATGTGTCTTTATAATAGAATGACTTATAATCCTTTGGGTATATACCCAGTAATGGGATTGCTGGGTCAAATGGTATTTCTAGTTCTAGATCCTTGGGGAATTGCTACACTGTCTTCCACAACGGTTGAAATAATTTACACTCCCACCAACAGTGTAAAAGCATTCCTATTTCTCCACATCCTCTCCAGCATCTGTTGTCTCCTGATTTTTTAATGATCACCATTCTAACTGGCTTGAGATGGTATCTCAGTGTGGTTTTGATTTGCATTTCTCTAATGAGCAGTGATGATGAGCTTTTTTTCATGTTTGTTGGCTGCATAAATGTCTTCTTTTGAGAACTGTCTGTTCATATAGTTTGTCCACTTTTTCATGGGGTTGTTTTTTTCTTTAAATTTGTTTAAGTTCCTTGTAGATTCTGGATATTAGCCCTTTGTCAGATAGGTAGATTGCAAAAAATTTTTTTTCCATTCTGTTGGTTCCCACTTCACTCTACTGATAGTTTCTTTTGCCGTGCGGAAGTTCTTTAGTTTAATTAGATCCCATTTGTCTATTTTGGCTTTTGTTGCCATTGCTTTTGGTGTTTTAGTCATAAAGTCCTTGCACATGACTATGTCCTGAATGGTACTGCCTAGGTTTTCTTCTAGAGTTTTTACAATTTTAGCTCTTACGTTTAAATCTTTAATTCATCTGGAGTTATTTTTGTATAAGGTGTAAGGAAAGGTCCAGTTTTAGCTTTCTGCATATGGCTAGCCAGTTTTCCCAACACCATTTATTAAATAGGGGATCCTTTCCCCATTGCTTGTTTTTGTCAGGTTTGTCAAAGATCAAATGGTTGTAGATGTGTGGCATTATTTCTGAGGACTCTGTTCTGTTCCACTGGTCTATGTCTCTGTTTTGGTACCAGTACCATGCTGATTTGATTACTGTAGCCTTGTAGTATAGTTTGAAGTCAGGTAGCATGATGCTTCCAGCTTTGTTTTTTTTTTGTTTGTTTGGTTGGTTGGTTTTTTTTCTTTTTCTTAGAATTGTCTTGGCTATTTTTTGGTTCCATATGAAACTTAAGGTGTTTTTTTTTCCAATTCTGTGAAGAAAGTCAATGCTAGCTTGATGGGCATAGCACTGAATCTATAAATTACTTTGGGCAGTATGGCCATTTTCACAATAATGATTCTTCCTAACCAGGAGCATGGAATGCTTTTCCATCTGTTTGTGTCCTCTCTTATTTCCTTGAGCAGTGGTTTGTAGTTCTCCTTGAAGAGGT